GTGTGTGTGTGTGTGTGTGTGTGTGTGTGTGTGTGTGTGTGTGTGTGTGTGTGTGTGTGTGTGTGTGTGTTTGTGTGTGTGTGTGCGTATTGCTGGTATATGACAGCGTTCAGAAATTTATTTTTCCGTTCTCCACTCACGCCCCTTATTAACGTCGTACTACATAAGACGATGTTTATTGCGAGAGCTATCCGTGAAACCACCGCCGCGCGTACGAGAAAGGAGAGGGATCACATATGTTTGCGAGCGTTTCTCATTGCTTGCCCAGGTGCGGCGCGACTGTTAGCACGCGGATGTACTGCCGTATAAAGGTCGTGTTGAATAAATACAGCCCAATACGTACATACGCGCATGTTGTCTCCATGTACATAGAGAGGGTGTATGTATATACACACACACGTACGTAAAGCGCTGAGTGTTTAAGACAGAGACGATTGTGCGTCGTGAGTCATGCCATGCGAACCAGCGACGCTATACGTTTTCACTAATCAGTAATTGCTTCGCCGTTGGTATTGTCATATATTTGCTTGTAAATTTGTCACGATTTGTAAAAAAATAGCTATTTTTTACATTAAAGTAAGTACTAACGGGTGTAAATGTATTGTAAGATTGTATAAGATGTATTGTACTGATAAGATTGTTTCTCAACTAGTTAAAAATCCAAAAACCTGGACGATTTGATATTATTATCCTGACATTAATTGCTTGCTATGGGCTATGTATGAGTCACGACTGTATGTTTACATCGAACAATATAGGAATATGGGAAGTATGATGCAGCAATTTAGCCATAAAAAGTGAACAGAATTACCTACATTTTGTGAAAAAGTGGGATTTTTTTTAAACTTTTACTATTTACGGTGACGTAATCACTTTAAATAACTCATGAGATACGGCGGATGTTTCGTGCGTGTGGGAGTAAATGAATCGTTCCTCTTAGTAGGCGTTAGCATACGAATGTGTCAACACGCCGAACATCTATCTATATGAAGTATAGTTTGCTAGGTCTACTCGTTCCGTGTGTCATAGTTGACTACGTTTATGTGAGCGCGCACCGCGTCTGCATACACGAGAGCCAGCGTTTGCGTGTGTTTGTGTGCGTTTAAGACTGGTCAACCTCTTTCAATGCGAAATATAGTAACATCATGACATTGCAGAGATTTAGGTAGGTGGGTGTGGCCTCACCGACGACTATGGTACCAGGATTCGGCACCCGCCCCAATGTAGACACAAATAGTTTTTTATATGTTTAATGTTTACTGTTGGTATTGTTCGTAAATTATTGGAAAATATTTTTTGCTAGACAACCGGCTTAGTTATACCGTGCTTACTGAAGAGGTTCATGCAAGTGTTTAAAAACAGACCAACTATTTCGCACAACATGCACGTTACAGACCGAGGGCTAATCACAAAAGTGCAATTATATTTATACCTAAATGCTATTTAACCGAACGATATTCATTTTAGGGCAAATTTATCTATATTATAAGTGAAACTATATGTCGTTTATAAGATATTACAATCTTTTTGCTTTTAAATGCAGCATTCCTACGTGTACATAAAAAGCTGTGTAACTATTACTACCCTGGCGCTAAAATATAGCTCCGCTAAGGCGTCTCCTATTGCCTTCTTCTGTCCATGTGACTTATACGTCATGATATGATGGGTCGGGTAGCGTCCCCAGTTGCAGTATTCGACTTGCGAGAGCTAAATAAAATGCAAAATTCATCCGTGTGCAATACATCATTGACGCTGGTATACTAATCTGCGAGGCTATGAACACGTAGGTCAAACACGCGGGTCTTACACATCTCGTCTGCTTAGTCTTCTCCATCATTTACCGATTCTTCCTACTACTGGCACTGCGCAGCTTCGTTGTAATTTATTTTTGCTACCAATCTGATTTTGGCCATATTCTTTTGTTACCGATTGTTACCTTCGCGTCTGCTGTAGATTGGAAACGCGTCGATTCTTGGTGATATTACTGCCCGCAGTACGTGTCAAAAACACATTCGAAGAAATTCCAAATATCCAACGTACCGGTTGGTTGGTGTTTCCAGAGGTTTCGTCGGTGCAGACCAGGCGGTATTTGTCGCTGTCTCCGAAATCCTGGATGCCAGCCAAAACTGCATCGGTGGTAAAGGCAATGTCACCGCCCTTGTTACGTAGACACGAGATGGCGCCCTCTGCTCCGTGGTTGCTGTCGGTCTCGCTGCATTGCTGTGTATTCCCGCAGAGCGAGCACAGCTTGTCTGAGTAATTTCCCCCTGTAAGACATGGTGCCAATATTAAAAACACAACTGCAAGACGATAGAGAAACTGTTGAGTTCCTGTCACTATAAGTTAACAAGTAATACTTTTTGTAAAGGTTTAATGAGGGTATATACTTATAAACAAGGTTGTTTTCCCTTCTCATTTAGCTGGATATTTTATTATTTTTAGCTATCGTTGATATTTTGTATTTTTCTATATTATATATCATATTGATCGCCGATGAGCACCCGGGGTCGTATGTGTCTATGGCGGTCACAACGGTTCAATGTCATTGTCGTTTGATGCCAGCAGGGCGGTGACGAACTGCTGATTCGTTCCCTGTGATGAAAACCGTGACAGACGTCGTTTAGATCGTGCTCGGGGGCTGCCTCCGCTAGCCGCCTCGCGTACAGCCGACGGCGTTCGCACGAATACGCGCTGTATGGCAGCGAGAGGGTACGTTGTCAGATACATAAGAAATAGTCGAGGGTTTTGAAGGCAAGTGTCATACAAAAGTCATAACAGTTTGGATATATGATAGTCATCAGCATTTATGATGTTTAGACTGACAACGAGCCTCAGTAAAATGTCGCTCGAGCGGCTAAATTAGCGATCCGCTGCATATATATATATAGTTGCATTTCTGCAAGCGGTCACAATAATTTAACATGTAGATTTAATCCGCGTATATCTCATACTCGATAGACAGAGCTACTCGTATTATGTCGAATAGCGATATACTTGGCGAGTGAAAATTTTATGCTCTTGAGTTCTGCACATATTGAATCGAGGTGGCTAATAACCATATTATTGTTCTTTTTCATCTGACACCTACTACGTGCATCACAAAATCACTCGCACCGCACACGACAGATTCTCTCCATATCCTCGTGTGATTCCCACAAACAAGTCGTATTCAATACTATACGTATAGTATAGTAGTCGTATAGTACGTGCATATAGCATATGCAGACACCAAGTGTATCACAATTCGACACAAGAATACCTCTTGTAAAGCTAACAGTAAGTGAACAGGAAGAAACGTCTCAAAATACAACAAAATGTTAGGTAAATGTCTTACAGAATGGCGTGCAGCATTCCTACGTGAGCATAAAAAGCTGTGTAACTATTACTACCTTGGCGCTAAAATATAGTTCCGCTAAGGCGTCTCCTATTGCCTTCTTCTTGTCACGTGACTGATACGTCATGATATGATGGGTCGGGTAGCGTCCCCAGTTGCAGTTTTCGACTTGCGAGAGCTATATAAAATGCAAAATTCATCCGTGTGCAATACATCATTGACGCTGGTATACTAATCTGCGAGGCTATAAACAAGTAGGTCAAACACGCGGGTCTTACACATCTCGTCTGCTTAGTCTTCTCCATCATTTACCGATTCTTCCTACTACTGCGCAGTGTCGTTGTAATTTATTTTTGCTACCAATCTGATTTTGGCCATATTCTTTTGTTACCGATTGTTACCTTCGCGTCTGCAGTAGATTGGAAACGCGTCGATTCTTGGTGATATTACTGCCCGCAGTACGTGCCAAAAACACGTTCGAAGAAATTCCAAATATCCAACGTACCGGTTGGTTGGTGTTTCCAGAGCGTGAGTCGGTGCAGATCAGCTTGAATAGGCTGCTGTCTCCGGATGCCTGGATGTTAGCCAAAACTGCATCGGTGGTGAAGGCGATGTCACCGCCCTTGTTACGTAGACACGAGATGGCGCCTTCTGCTCCGTGGTTGCTGTCGCTCTCAGTGCATTGCTGTGTATCCGCGCAGAGCGAGCACAGCTTGTCTGAGTAATTTCCCCCTGTAAGACATGGCGCCAATATTAAAAACACAACTGCAAGACGATAGAGAAACTGTTGAGGTTCCTGTCACAATAAGTTAACAAGTAATAGTTTTTGTAAAGGTATAATGAGGGTATACTTATAAACAAGGTTGTTTCCCCTTCTCATTTGGCTGGATATTTTATTATTTTTAGCTATCGTTGATATTTTGTATTTTTCTATATTATATATCATATTGATCGCCGATGAGCACCCGGGGTCGTATGTGTCTATGGCGGTCACAACGGTTCATAATTTCCGTTCACTTCATGCAATGAGTAGCGGTTCTACTGTACATCCAAATACTTACGCTTATACAAGTCGTTTGCCCAATTTCCCGGCGCGCAGCTTCCGCTGAAGTATTGGTGTGCGTTCTTGAGGTCGTCGTGACATGCCGCCACGGTCATCATCTTGTTCTTGGCAAGCAGCGACAACGGCATGTCCCAGCCTGCAGGGTCGTTAATGGCCCCGGCGTGGCACGACTGCTTATCTTTGATATCGTTAATGCTGTTCACTGTGGATGCTAGTTTTGCTATGGCCACGGCCAAGTACTTGTAAGGTTTTGCTGCCAAATACACAAGCGTTCGTGAATACACATTACACCATTAGTCACAGTACGCAAATTGTACGCACACGTACGAACCTGTCTGATGTTCTGGAAGACGACGTACCGCGTCGACTCACAGCATTTCAGCATATAT